TTCTTCAGCCGGCACTCGCCCTGTGTGAGACTCTGAGGTCAGTGTCTACTTGTAATGTAATAAATTGAGTCACTTAAAGAAACTTCGGTCACAGCACAAAACTCTGGAGGAATGTGGTGATATATATTTGATTGATTGAGGTGACGACAATAACACATTGCCTGCTTGTTGGTTGAGGGGTGTTGTGCATCATGTAAATATAATAAATAATTGTCTGATTTATCTCAGATGCAGCAGCTCGAAACGAAGGGTTTTGGACAAACAGGAAAAGTAAGATCTTATATTTATTTTGGGAAAAAAAAATTCTGTCTGTTTGATACATTAGTGATTTGATTCATCCTGATCATCTGTATTGTGCAGGCTGAGCACCTGTGACTCTGGAGCGTCTGCATTGGATCTTCACTGTCAGTCTTGTGTTGATGTTGCTGATTCAGATCAGTGGCTTCAGGTGGAGCCGTCAGTCTGTAGAGATGAAGGAGGCTCAGAGTTCAGGATCAGCACTCCGGCGGGTCGATTCCAGTGTTGCAGGACCAGAATGCGATGGGTCTGTGATGGAGACGTCACTCTCCACTACCGGGCAGTGGATGGACATTTCCTCAACGCAGAGCTGGAGAGGCTTCAGTGTGAGCGAGTCGCTCCTGTGCTGGATGTTAATGTGATCTCAGGGAAGCTGAAGGAGGCTCATCTGCCTCATTATATGTGTTTAGCCGAGTCAGATCCTGCTCTCACCAACGCCGTCAAGCTCCTCAGCAAGAGAGATGAAGGAATATCTGTACAATCTGTCGAGCTCAGCCGTTATCATGCTAAAATATGTCAACCATCATTCTCTCTCACAACTCTGATTATAAACTGGATCATGAAATGGGAAGCACACTGTAATCTTCTCCTCTACATGCGCTGTAGAGATCCTCTCATTCTTCACGTCTACTTTTTCCCAGTCAATGATTCTTGCTCAAAAGAAAGAGTAGAGCAGAATGAAAGATCAAGTCTTCTGATCAGCCACCCCAGACCTAACAGGCCGTTTCGGATGAAAACTCCACATCTCCTCGAGGTTCCTGGTGCATCTGTGCATCCTGTAGAGGGAATTTCATTCAGAACAGACTTTGAGCCAAACTTCTTCAAGGTCAGGAATCTTCAGGACGATGATGTACAAATGAATCTCATCAGAGAGGAAGACAAGGTGTCGGTGTGGACGGCCACTATATGGAAAGATGAATTTGTCCACTTAAAGCAAGTCCAGGATGAGCCGCAACTGAACTCTGATAGAAGTGAGTTTTTTGATGCTCACAGATTGGCTTTCATTCAGAGGGTTATAAATGTGAAGAGCATTGCAGATAAACTTCATGAACAGAAAATAATTCATAAAGAATTATATTCTAAAATCATACAGAGTAACTTGCCCAGTCAGCAGGTTATGAGAGACATTTGTGACTCTGTGGATTCAAGTGGTGCAACTGCAAAAGGGAAATTCATTGTAATTCTTCAGGAAGAAGAGCCCTGCCTCTTTGAAGAACTGATGCGCTCTGATTCATAATGACTTCTTGTGTTAAAACACAGTAAATGCATAGACAGACAGCATGAATTAAATTGTAAGATTATATAAATATATCCAACAAAATTACTGTTGAATACTAGTGCAAAAGATTAATTGAAAAAAAAAACATTAGGTAAGTAGAACATTTTTGTTTTATGTTTTATACTCTTCCAAAGCATACAAATACCATATTTGTTTATCTGAAAAACAATGCTAAAGTCTTTTATTCTGCTTTGAAAATGTGCATCAGCCGTCTGTCTTTGTCTTAGTCATTTAACCCACCCAATGCAAAACAAATTAAATTTCAGCCCCCCGGGTGGCCTCAGAGGAAAACAGCGCATTTCATTCATTCAGTCATGAAGGCTCTCAAAGCATGCATCTGTGACCAAAATGCGACCTCCGTTGGACAGTAGCAGACTCCGAAATGAGAGTTCCACTTGAGGTGTCTATTAATGAACAAATATTACAAAGTAAACATTAGCTGAGCAAGTTATATTTGTAACCCTGTGTTTTATCAACGTATGTGACAAGATTTGCAGTGATAAGCAGTTTGTGTGTCTGTACCAGACACAACACGACAGAAAAATTAAAATACAGCCATTCAGAAGCACAAAATAGTGCACTCACTGCACTTCAATGAAATGGTAAGGTTTACAATCTATTTAATACATATTAAGCCTCTTTAACTTTAATAAATGTACATACAGAATCGCTGATATTTTGTTGGCTTGCACTGAGTCACAGCTCTAAAGTTCAATTTCAAACGGTTTTCTCTTTAGATCTGAGGTAAACTATCGGAACAATCGGCTTCTGCTTTAATTATTGCATTATTACATGTCATTCAAACTCACATTATTAGCATTTAACACTGAATAAAGCACATAAGGTGTACATGAGGTGATCATTTTCATAGTTCATCCTGTTGTTCAGTTGCGAGAAATAGGGGAGCGCAGAGCACAAAGTAATGCAGGGTTAAATGTAACAGAGTTTTAAGGTATTAGCTCAGGGTTAACCATGGCATGCTTCTGAGGTTTTCACCACAGTGTCGGCAGACGTCTTCCTGCCAATCATTGAAAATGTTTGGCAAAATTTGGATGCATAAAAGTATTTTTTATCATTATCAATATTTTTTTTAATCTGTGAAAGTATGCAAGTAAAATCTTATATTGTTGTGATCGCCGTCTTCTAGGTTAAAAGATGGAAGCATTTTGAAAGGTGTAAAACACAGTGACTGCTGGCCAGTTTTGAGAAAACCATGACACAGCAGGGTTAGTTGTAACAGGGTGCTACACTAAAGCCACACACTGTGTATGACACCAATTAAACTAACATTTTTTTTTAATTTTGAGTGTAATGTTAAAAACTTTTTAAATAAAATGTTTCAAATAAAATGTAGATTTTTTTTTAATAGACCAAAAATATATATTTTATTGCTAATACTACAAATAAATGCATTGTATAATGGATAATAATCCAAATAAATGCAAATGTGTTTATCCAATAGATACATAAACACACTGTGCTATGTAGAATAAAAAAAATTAATTGAGTTAATCACTGAGGAAATATAGCTAAAAAAGTTTAATGAGGTAGTGCAGACTTTTAATTTCAGCCAGCCAGCCCCAGCGCTTCCTGTGAACTTTCTGTCTTTTCATTATAAAATTGCCAAGTTTAAGGTCTGATTGCTTTAAAAATCAGTGATCTTCATTGCCTGATTGATCTATGATATAAAGTAATTCTCTGACCAGACAAAAAGCACTGCAATAATTCCATTTCCCCCGCCATTTCTTTATAATATGACAGCCTATTTTATCCCAATATTTTTAATGGAGTTCTGTGCTGGCCTGTTGATCTTGACAGTGCTAGCAGTTACAAAGTCTTTCATCTCGTTTTACGCTTGAACAACATAATGAATGCTTAAGTCTATTTAACTGATTACATTTTGATTACATTACAGCATCGATGCTGTAAAAGGAACCTTATGATATTGTACAGTCACATTAAACTTTTACAATAAGTTTATCATTGGCTGAAACACAAGCTTTGCATATTATAGCCCATTAAAATGAAGAATGTCAGTAACAAAACAGATCTCACCCTTTAGTTTTCCAGCTTTTAGTGATAATCTTCATGTGTGCAACAATAAAATAAGGAAATTGTGAATGAGATAAAATTAGTTTGAGTTTATCTTTTTGATTAGATTTTCTTTTATTTAGTTCCCCCCTAGATAAGCAAGATATGCCTACATACAGGAACTAAATCAAATAATAACGTATATGCACTTATTACACTAAAAATGTAAATAAATTTCATCATTCTAAAAAGAAAGTTCTTGAAATAAAAAAAAATGTAGTACAATCATTAATTTTCCTTCAGCTTAGTCCCTTTATTCATCAGGGGTCGCCACAGTAGCATGAACCGCCAACTTATCCAGCATGTTTTACACAGCGGATGCCCTTCTAGCTGCAACCCAGTACAGACCTGTAGGCAGAAGGGGTTCAGTTTGTTCGAAAGACCCCCCAGAATTTGTTTGTCTTTTTTTGACTGCTATGCCATCATAAATTGACAAAATAACTTGTCGAAGAATGCTTAAAGACCAAACAGAATCTGAAATAAGTGGTCAACCTTCACTACTGACCTACTGTAATGTTGTTAAATAGAGAATACAGTTTACATGTAACTTTTATTCTAAATCTTGGACCTTATTCTTGAAAAAAAAGACCAATAAAAAGAAGTGAAGCACTAAAAAGTAATTCTGAAGCATAATAAAGTTCATTTAAATACTAATGAGGCAATTGTTGTTATCTATGAATTTTCAAACGTACTATTATACAAGAGAGACTACAAAAAAATGAGAAGCTCTTTGTTATTATTAGTATTTTTATGTTTTGATTTTTTATTATTCAAATTCACACCGAGGAAAGTTGAATGTGCCTAACAAATAACAATAGACTACAGTTTTTCTAATGATGTAGATAAATTTGTATTTTTAAAATAATAAGTATACATTTCTATATTTCGTTTTTCTAAATAATTAGGAAATGTTTTTGGTACATTAAAAATTGTGGTTATGATGGCCACCTGACAAGCTAATCCAGAAAAAATTGTGCTTAAATGTAATTTAAAATGCAGTATTTAAACCTCAAATGAAAAGAAAATGAAGCGAATAACTGCAAAAAAAGTCCACTTTTTGAGAAAAAAGAACCCCCCTTTCACTAGACTGGCTACTGCCTACAGTACAGGGTAACACCCATACACACTCATTCACACACATATGGCCAATTTATCCGAATCACCCCAGTCATCCAGGACATGCAAACTCCACATAATGAGGGTGGCCCAGATGGGACTCGAACCACTGAGCCACCGTGTCGCCTCTGAATTTAGTACATAAAACACCTAAATAGAATATGAATACAAAGGAGTGCTTTTGATTTGCCAACCGTAATATAAAGAGTAAATATATATAAATATAAAGAGTAACTCAAACTTGTTTTGCCAAGACGAAACACGGAAGCTCCTTTGCAAAGCGCGCACCTTTATCAGGCACCGCCATGCACGCGCAGAAGGCGTGACCACGCAACTATGAACTTTTTCCTTATGACGCACTGGTTTCGTTTTCAAAAGCGGGAATCACTGAGCTGTTTTGGTCGTTAAAACAGAATAATGTTTTGCCATTTTAGTCAGTGTTAGATCTAGTTAAAAGTCAGTAACTAGTATATCAGCAAATCGATAATTCAGTATCAAGGATTGTTTATGTGACACACACGATGTCTAGTGGTAAGTGGACGCGCGTGATATGAATACTTGTCTAGTCTACTTCTTGTGCTAATTTTCTTAGTGTTACATCATTTTAATGTATGCAGATACTCATATCTAATTATTGTTTGTATGTCTCTAGATTACACAGACCGAAATAACTTAGCTTCCGCAATTAAGACATTAGGAGATATGCTAGAAAAGGATGAAGCATTTCAGAGGTTAATGTATAATGCGAGCACAAAGGGAGAAATCAACCGGGGCAGAGTGAATAAAGTGTTCCTTAAAGCACTACTGTCAGCAGGAGACAAAGTAGGAGAGTTCTTAAATGAGCTGATAGATCATCTGAACCTGTTTAAAGTTCTGGGTAAGAGAATACACCTCCTACTATAAAAACTCGTATATATATATATATACTTAAAGTCCAATATGACCTCTTTTGTGGTTAATAGGTGATTTCAGCTGGAATCCTCCTGTTTTAAAAGAAGCTGAATTAAATGGTGAGTTGCCCTTGTTATTGTAACCAATATAGTGAACTCAGTCTTCTTCAGGCTGATTGTAATTACTTGCATCATAAAGGGGTGCCACATAAAAATAAAAAAAGGTGGTCCTGGCCAGAGAGTCTTGCCTTTCCTGTCAGTGTTTGTTTCCCTGTTCAGGGCTCGAAATTAACTTTTTTACTTAGTAGCACTGGTGCTCCTATAACTTTAAATATTTAGGAGCATCAGAAAAAGTTCAGGAGCACCCACCACAAATAATTGATCACCACAGCAAGTTGTACATTAATGGATTTATTGTATTTGAAAACAACATCAATTAGGATTAACAACATCCAGAAATAACTATCTAATAGGGATGTAACGGTATTGTAAATACCGTCATACCGCAATATTAAATTTTTTCGATATTACCGTAGTCGCATGACTCGTAATTCTATAGGTCTAATGAGAAAATTTGCTCAGGCGAATAAAGCGAACGGGAGGTACCGGAAACTACAATTCCCATCAGCCCAGGCTTGGCCATAATCCCTTGCGGTCTGTTGTCGCTACAGATCCAGTAATGCGGAAATGGAGTGTGCTGCTAGAAGCGGGGATCAAAAAGAGCTGGAAAACCCTAAAGCGGGTGTTGTCGCCGCGCGCGTACTGAATAGTGGTGTTGTCGCGCGAGTTCTTATCAGCTGTGTTGTCGCGCGTGTACTGTAAAGCGGGGACGGAGGGTGTGTCGCATCGCGGGGGCACTTCTGATCATTTTGGAAGGGAACTTTCTATCCAAGACTAAAAAGGGCATGTGCACTGCACAGGTTGAGCACTGTGTGTGCACGTGCCTGCAAGTTGGGGAATACGACTAATCAGTCATGGGGACTGCAGAAACACAGCACACTGTTCAGATTGATGCAGACATGAGATCTCTATCTCACTCATGGTTTGTCCTCTCAAGTGGGGGAAAGACAATGCACAACGTTACCCACTGCTGTCAACCTAGGCCAAGTCATATCTCTCTGTCCCAGAAACCTCAGTCCCAAATGAGAGGGTTTTTTTCTGTTGCAGGGGACATTGTAAATACTCAGAGATACCAGCTTTTACCAGATTATATTTATATGATAATTTTCCTTTAAACCCATCTCTATCTAAGTGAGTGAGTGATTAAATGTTGAATGTGATGAGTTTTCAACAATACTAAATTGAAACTTTATTTTTTTACATGGTTTAATATTTTTTTTGTTATTAAAATTGAAGTTCCTGTTTCAAAGCTTACAGATAGATGGCTAATTTGTATGTCATTGACACTTTTGGCACTTTTTTGGAGTATTTTCATAAGTTTTGTTTTTTCCTGTAAATGATTCAATAAATACCGCACCGTGACATTCATAGCGAGGTATTACCGTACCGTGAAATTCTGATACCGTTACATCCCTACTATCTAACTAATGATGTGATGACTTATTGATATTTGTACAATAATTCCAAAATGAATGTCTAATAATTATTTGATATTAATGATGACGAAGATGACGATAATGCTAGCAATGAATTACATTTTTCATTATCATGCTGCCTTGAATGTGCTTTAATGTAAGTTATATGCTATAAAAGGTCCTACTGTTACTTTATGAAAAATTATTTTATGGTTTGCATCAAACACAAATGCAGCATTGCAGTAAGAAATATTTATTTTGCACTATTGTTTTTATATGCATGTCAATTTAATCAGTAATATTTCTGCTACAAACAAACGAAAGAGTATAATCAATCATTCAATTCAAAGCTGAAAGCTGCAATGCAGTCATTAGTTATTAAATAAAAAAATATGCATCTCAAGAAAGAATGGACAAAAGAGAGTAAGAAAAGTCTCACATCTATCAGTCTTCAAGAGTTTTGGTTTCGGTTTGTGTCATTTTAAATGCTCAGTCTCGTTATACGCTGATTTACTTTTTTCTGTGTTTGTGAAAAAAATCAGGCGAGGCAGTCGGACTAATTTATGAGCAGGCAGAGCAGGATTCTCGCAATGACCACCGGCGCAATACCGTTCTTTATTATGAGCCGCAGTTTCAGTTTAAACTTAGTAAAGGCAAGCTTCTTTAGCGATGTGTACAGTATCAGATTTTACATTTACAGTAGCGAACATTTGCGCTGAACATGCAGTGAATGCAACGCATCGAGATTTCGGCACCTTCTCTGAAAACACTGGATTGATCTCAGCTGGCAGATCAACATTGGCTACATGATTGCTGTCATTGGCACCAATATTTGTAACTTTAGGTGGGGTTTGCAAACCAGTTTTCTTTTCACTCTTCAGCCGTTTGCATTTCCCGCTGTCACAAAAGCTCCCGGTCGTCTGACAGCTGAAAGCCGTGAGGGATTGATAGCTAATATGAACCAATATAGAGGCAGGGAAGACCAATTCAGCACATATTTAGAAAAAAATCTAAACAGGTCGCACAAATGCTCCCAAATATATTATGAGGTCGCATAGATTAAATTTCAGGCGCATACAGGTATGCTTCCAAAATGGTGGCAATTTCGAGCTCTGCTGTTTTTCTTGTGCTTGTTTACATTACTTTGCCTTAATTTGTGTTAGCTGTGTGTTCCTCTTATCTTTCCTCCTTGTTTTCAGTTACCCAGCCCTTTTATTTAGACCTTGTTATCCTGATTGTTTTCACCTGTCTCTCTAAGTGTGCTTGGGCACGGTTCAAGGCAACTGTACATAGTGCAAGTATGCCTTAGTTGTCTTTTTAATTGTTTATATTCTCTCTTTACGATTCTAGAAGTTATTTTTTTCAGTTTTTTTTGTCAGTCTAGTTTCCTTTCTACTAGGATTTATATTGATTTAATATTTTCTTTTAGATTTAGTTAGTTTTATTATTTTATTATACAATTATTTCTGCCTGTTTGTTTTCCTGTCTTGTGTCTTAGGGTGCTTTGCTTTCACTCTTGGTGTCATCTTGTACCTTCCAGTGGCTTCACTGTGTTATTGCCCCTACTGACCTTGTCATCCCCTTGTCTGTCTACTTGTGCTTAATTCCATCAATAAACACCTTTGTTTTGTTCATTTCTACAACTGGGTCTGCAACCAACCATGACAGAACGAACCAGCCAACTTCAGACCCAGCAGGATGAGTATGCAAGTGGATCCTCCCAGTACGGTTTTGGGGAGACAGGCACTTCAGCAAGGGGTGACATCACCTCACCAAGAGGGCCGCAAGGTGAGTGGCTTTTGCCCAGTTTTTCTGGACAATGGCAAAAGGCTTTGGCCAACCATTGAAAAAGTTGGCTCTGTATAATGAGAATGTGTGTAGTATGCAGTGGTGGTTCTAGCTTGAATGCTAACTTTCACCCTGGGCCAACCACTTTATTCGGTGGCTTTCACCCAAACTCTTCAGAAAACGTTTTGCGTAATAGCACGAGAAGGCATTGAACTACTGAAAAGCATTTAATACATTGTGTCAGAAAGCCTGCTTAATGGACTAGGAACTAAAGTTAGTTGCATGTTTCTAGGGGGGACGTTTAGTTTATGGGACCTGCTGTTATGTTCTCCATCATTGCTAGCTCCTGCTGATGTTGTTTTCTGTAATGCGTTCATCTTATACAAAACATTACATCTTATTCATTTCTCACTACCATTACCCATAATTGAGCAATCTGATGATTATGTTGAAGAAAATAAATATTTCAAACGTCAACACTTCTCCTGCCCTCCTGATTCTCTGACCGGAATCTGGTCCATATTTGGCCGCCTCAACCAGTGGAAAATTTACATGTAGTAAGGTTTACTACATTATTATGGTCCTTCGAGCCGGATTGAGAGCAATATAAAACCAGTATGGACCGAACAGGAAGTGACACTGAGAAAATGGATAGAACCCGCCGCAGGACACATCTGCCACCTCACCTGGATGATAATGAAGTTGATTACCAACCTTTACAGGACCCTCCCCCAAAAGCTTCTACAACCTGTCCCAGTCATTCTAGAAGCAGCTCGAGGAAAACGTCCCGCAGTGGTATCAGCTCTCATTCTAGGACGAGTAGACGTTCTGTTACCTCCACTGGTGTTTATCTCCCACCAGAACTCTCTAGTGTCCAGACAGCTGTTTTGGAGGAGAAGATTAAGCAGAGACAGTTTGATAGTCTACAGCAGCAGGTACAGGAGGACTCACTAGCTGACGTGGAATATCAGCGCCTGCAGACACAAGCAAAGGAAGCTCAGCGTATTCAGGAGGAGGCTCTTGCAGCTAAGGAAGCTTTGTCCAAGCATCTAGAGAGACAGCGGAAACTACAACAGGCAGAGACTGAGCTTGAGGTAGCCAAACTTGTATCTTCAATGCTTATTACAAACTCTGGTTCAAACACTCCCAGGCCTTCAGGCTCACCAGACAGCCCATCGCCGCCACCTCAACCTGATCAGACTAATGCATCCAGGAGTCCACAGTCTACCTCCTCTTCTCAGCTTCCACCTCCGCTACCAACAGTCACATCATGTGATGACATTTCACAGCTGTCACTTAGACCACTGGCGCTAACATTACCTACCACCACAGTGAGTGTTTCCTCTCCTTCAACATTCCCGTTATTACAAGCAGTCTCATCATCAGTCGTTACAGTATCTGAGACTGCCCCTAAAACTATGCCATTAAGCACAGTGACATCAGTTCCACATGTGACACATCAGCCTTTCTCTGTAGCGACAGTTATGTCCACTATTGGCCAGTCTACGAGTAGAAGAGGGCCATCTGTACCAAAGCAGTCTAACACTGCCCCACGGACAATGAATATGAATCCATATGTAATGCAGCAGTCATTCATCCCTCCAGTGAGCACACACGCAAATCAGCAGCAACCTCCAATCACCAGCCAGCAGGCCTCAGCTCCGCCACCTAATGTCAGATCTGCTCAGCCACATTCATTCATGCCTCTTCCCCACACATACCCTGGTACAGAGCTACTGTTTGCCTCAGCTTATGGCATACCACAACCCAAGCTACCAGTATTTGAGAGTGGTAATGAAAGTGACTTTGCCTTGTTAAAACTGGCCCTAGATAATTTGCTAAGTAATCACAGCTATCTTAGTGAGCAGTATAAATATCATGTACTGTTAAGTCATTTGAAGCTACCCAGCGCACAGCAGCTAGCGAAAGCTTATATGTATCATTCACATCCATACTCAGCTGCACTACAAGCACTTCAGGACAAGTACGGACAGCCAAGACAACTCGTACAGTCAGAGCTGGGTGCCATCATGAATAGCCCACCACTTATACTGGGTGATGCTAATGCCTTTGACAGCTTCGCATTATCAGTACAGTCATTAGTAGGCATGTTGAGGACCCTTGAAGGTCAAAATGGGTACGAGTTAATGTGTGGCTCTCATGTAGATCGACTACTCAGCAAGTTACCACCTGCCTATCGTGACAGCTTCGTTGAGTACTGTCTAAGCCGGGGTATCCTCCAGACAGGCACAGACAGAACCTATACACTCCCCGATCTGGCCACCTGGTTAGAGATTAAGTCCCAGGCGAAGCGAATTTCCAACCGAGCTGCAGCTTTGTTCCCGAGTGACCTAGCCAAGCCTCAAGGTAAACCCACAACATATTCCCGACCAAAGGAGCGATTCACACCTGTCTTGTTGACCAGTGAGAGGAGCATAAACCGTCCTGATACTGCAGCACAGAGATCTAGCACAAAGTTAAAGCCCAGGCCATATTGTCCCCATTGTGATAGCCGAGAACATTACCTGAATGCATGTGAACAGTTTAAGAAACTAACTACAGCTCAAGTTACCACTTGGATAAGAGAAGGAAAGCGCTGCTGGAGGTGTGGTCGAACTCATGATGTGGGGGTCTGCAACCTTAAGCGCCTATGCAGTGTCTGCAAAGAGTTACATCTTACAGTTCTACATGATTCAGTTCAAGACACTTCTAGAGCTGTTCTCATGGTCAGTTTGCCACCTACAAGAATTTATCTGGATCGACCTAACCGTTCCCCTAAGGTCATGCTGAAAGTTGTTAAAGTCCTGCTACACAGTGGTCGAAAAACTATGGAAACCCATGCCGTTCTCGATGATGGATCAGAGAGAACTCTAGTGCTCCAGCCAGTTGTGCAACAGCTTAAATTATCTGGTACCCCTGAACTGCTCTCGCTGCAGACCATTCACCAGTGTCACACTGAACTTACAGGATCATCTGTGTCTTTTGAGGTGTCATCTGTATCCAATCCCTCAAAGAAGTTTGCGATACACAACGCATTCACTGCCCCAGGTCTGTGTCTAGCGGAACACCATTACCCAGTGGCTGCTCTGCAAAGGGCTTATAGACACCTAAAAGATTTGCCACTGCCTCCCATGGATAAAGTGAGACCACTGCTCCTCATTGGGTCCGACATGCCGCATCTCCTGACACCAGTTCAGCCTGTATGCAAGGGCCCACCAGGGGGACCCATTGCTGTTCGTACACAACTTGGATGGTCTCTCCAAGGCCCCATGAGCCCGATGCAGCCCTCAAGAGGAAGTCAGCAGTGTCTCCATATTATGTCAGTTCCCACCTGTGATAACCTGTTTCAACATGTGGAGAGACTCTGGCAGGTGGACACACTCCCATACAACACCAAGATGGTTACCAGGTCCAAACAGGACAAGGAGGCTTACACTTTGCTGCAGAATGCAACCGTCAGAGTGACTGTGGACTGTGTACGACGATATGCTACACCATTACTGAGACGGACCCCTCGAACCTTACTCCAAGCAGATAAAACAGCTGTTCTCCCAAGTTTACGTCGTACTGAGCGTACCCTTGAAAGGGATCCTGATAGGGCCAAAATCTACTGCAGTGAGATTTCTAAATTGGAGTCAGCTGGTTATGTGGCAAAAATAACGGCAGAGGAAGCAAACCAAAGTGAAGAGTCCTGGTTCATTCCGCACCACATGGTGCACCATAATGGTAAAGACAGGATTGTCTTCAACTGCTCTTTCCAACACCATGGACAGTCTTTGAATGATCAGCTGCTGCCGGGGCCCACGTTGGGACCATCCTTATTAGGTGTCCTCCTGAGATTCCGCCAGCACACAGTTGCTATCAGTGGGGACATCAAAGGTATGTTCCACCAGGTCCGCTTGTTGCCAGGAGACAAATCTGTACTACGTTTCCTCTGGAGAGGAATGTGCAGAGAAGCAGAACCTGAAATATATGAATGGCAGGTGCTTCCATTTGGCACAACGTGCAGTCCCTGTTGTGCCATTCATGCCCTCCAACACCACGTCCAAGAGCACAAAGAAGGTAAAACTGAATTGGTGGATATTGTGGAACATTCCTTTTATGTTGACAACTGCCTTCATAGTGTACCAACGGCGAGTGAGGCTAAAGTGATAGTAGATGGATTACGCCAGCTCCTTTCTGAAGGTGGCTTTGAAATTAGACAGTGGGCATGCAATGTACCATCCGTAACTGAACACCTACCTTCAGATGCCAGGTCCGCAAGTAGCGAGCGCTGGTTAGCACAAAGCAGCACTGATCTTCAGGAGCCAACTCTTGGGTTGCGGTGGGATTGCATCAATGACACCTTGGGGTACAACTTGCGTTCTGTGGAGAATGTTGAACCTACCCTGAGGAACATGTATAAAACTTTGGCGAGTCAGTACGACCCGTTAGGGTTCATTACACCATTCACTACTAGAGCCAAGGTTATCATCCAGGACCTCTGGAAGCACAACCTTGGTTGGGATGACCCCATAGAGCCATCACATTTGAGAGATACTTGGCTTTCCTGGGTAGAGGAACTCCCTACACTTACCAAGATACATTTCCCTCGGGCATATACCCCAGCCGCTGCTGACAACCCATCGGCTATACGAGAGCTTCATGTCTTCAGTGATGCATCGGAAAGAGCCTATGGTTCAGTGGCCTATCTACGCACCACCGATGAGCAAGGACAAATCCATATTACCTTTGTCTCGGCCAGGTCTAGAGTCGCGCCTCGCAAATGCCTATCTGTACCACGTTTGGAGTTATGTGCTGCCCTTACTGGGGCCCAATTGGGGAAAGTAATCCAAACTGAGTTGACGCTACCAATCCACAAGGTCACTTTCTGGTCTGATTCTACCACAGTGTTGTATTGGTTAACATCCGAATCCTGCCACTACAAAGTGTTTGTAGGGACACGGGTGGCAGAAATACAGACTTTAACAGAGATGGCTGAGTGGAAGTATGTTGAGTCAACTCACAACCCTGCTGACCACATCACACGAGGCCTTACCCTGACAGAGATAGCAGGCCCCCATCAATGGAGCTCAGGTCCAGCCTTCCTGATCCAGTCACCTGATCAATGGCCATCAATGCCCCAAACTAAAGCTGAACCTGATTGCAATGAGCTGAAGAAATCAGCCTTTATCGGAACTGCTTCAGTACCCAGTGTTTCTCTACCAGTTCCAGGCAACTTTCACACATGGCAAGAGCTCGTTAAAGCCACTAGTACATCCCTACATGGGGCGGCTGCCGACATAGACTCCCCTATAAAGGCTTCCGAGTATATTGAAGCAGAAAAGTTACTTCTGGCACAGGCTCAGATGGACTCTTTCCCTATGGAAGTTCAACATCTAAAGGCTGGACATGCTGTCTTACCAAACAGTCGCTTAGGCTCACTTGCTCCAGAATATGATGTTGCTACTGGTCTCATTAGAGTGGGAGGGCGACTACGACGTGCCACTGATCTCGACGTGGAGGCCATACACCCAATCATATTAGACCCTAGCCATCATATTACTAAATTGTTGATTAAAGAAACGGACCAACAACTCCTTCACCCTGGCTCAGAGAGGGTTCTGGCAGAATTGCGCCGCCAGTATTGGATCCTTCGAGGTCGACAAGCAGTTCGTAAGCATCAGCATACCTGTCAAGATTGTCAGATATGGCGAGCCAAACCTCAAACTCCACGAATGGCAGATCTCCCCCCCTGCAGATTAAATCTGTATAAGCCACCTTTTTATTCTACGGGTGTGGACTGCTTTGGACCATATGCAGTCAAGATTGGACGCCGACAGGAGAAAAGATGGGGGATCATTTACAAATGTCTAACAACACGTTGTGTACATCTGGATCTGTTGGAGCATATGGACAGCGATGCTTTCCTTCTTTCCCTGCGCCGTTTTATAGCCCGACGAGGCAAACCTATGGAGCTATTGTGCGATAATGGCACCAACTTTATCGGAGGTGATCGGGAGTTACGTGAATCCTTTGAGGCCATGTCACCAAAGCTACAGGAACAGTTGGCAGAGCAGAAAATCAGTTTTCGCCATAACCCCCCAAACGCTCCTCACTTCGGAGGGACTTGGGAGCGTGAGATAAAATCAGTTAAGACAGCACTCCAAGTAATCCTCAGAGAGCAGTCAGTGCCAGAACCAGTTCTGCAAACCCTTCTGGTGGAAGTGGAAAACATTCTAAACTCCAAACCACTCGGATACGTATCTTCAGATATCGCGGATGTAGACCCTGTGACTCCTAACCTACTGCTCATGGGTCGCCGAGATGCCTCGTTACCCCAGGTCTTGTATGATTCTAGTAACCTGCTTGGAAGACGAAGGTGGAGGCATAGTCAGGTGCTAGCAGACTGTTTCTGGACTACCTTTATCCGTCAATACCTACCAAGCATGCAAGGCCGTCAAAAGTGGACAACTGATGGGAAGGAACTGGCAGTAGGACAAGTTGTACTTGTGATAGATCCACAGCTTCCACGTTCCCATTGGCCTGTTGGAACTGTAACAGAGGCTTTACCTGGAGCTGATGGCCGCATTCGAGTGGTCAGAATCAAGGTTAAGGACAAAACATACACCCGTCCAGTCGTGCGACTGATCCCACTTCCTCCTCTTGAGGACAATGACACGAGCACCCCTGACAGACTTTCTTAATGTTCAATTATCTCGTCAGATAATTGGGGGCGGCTGTGTCAGAAAGCCTGCTTAATGGACTAGGAACTAAAGTTAGTTGCATGTTTCTAGGGGGGACGTTTAGTTTATGGGACCTGCTGTTATGTTCTCCATCATTGCTAGCTCCTGCTGATGTTGTTTTCTGTAATGCGTTCATCTTATACAAAACATTACATCTTATTCATTTCTCACTACCATTACCCATAATTGAGCAATCTGATGATTATGTTGAAGAAAATAAATATTTCAAACGTCAACACTTCTCCTGCCCTCCTGATTCTCTGACCGGAATCTGGTCCATATTTGGCCGCCTCAACCAGTGGAAAATTTACATGTAGTAAGGTTTACTACACATTGTATGAAAAGCTTCTTTTTTCTTTTTCTTTTTTTTTTTTTGGTAATGCCTTTTTTATGGAGAATAAAGTCACATGCTTTCTCCAATCCCCCCAGCCTCTCTCTTTTTCTGAAACCAGTTAAAAGATTTCTTGGCTGTGTATGGTATTATTGTCTTGCGGAAATGTCTGCCCTGGTTTCATTTTCATCATCCTGGTAATCTAGGTGTCGGGACTGAAGCATCTGATGAGGGTTGCTTTCTAAAAAAAAAAAGATTTACAGCTGCTGTCTGAGCTTTCCATGCCTTTTCACATCTCTCTTTCTTCATGTGTTTAATACTTTTCCCAGTGTAGTTTAATTTTATTACACTTCATTTCTAAAACATTTAGTTTTGTTGTGTTTGCATGTATGGTATGCTTAGGTTGTTACCAACAACTGATGAAAAGTTTGTCAACTGCACATTTAGAAATGAGTTTTATTTAAAAAATAGTGGTGTATTTTCTTGATTGATTTATAGCAGTGGCAATTTAATGTAATCAGACAAAAATACAATGTACAGTGGATAAAACACAGCATACCATCCCCCCTGTTAAATACCAAAAAAAAAAAAAAAATGAAACCACCTACTGTGATCTACTCTATTACATGTAAAGCTAAATTGAAACTAGAAATATGTTTGTTCTTTATTTAAAAAAGTTATAATTAATAGGATTGCATAAATGTGCTCACTCTTGTGATAAACTTTCAAACTCATGTTAAATTGGAGTTAGCACACACCTTACATCATTTAAAGTTCCTCTGATTAATCCCCTAAAAGTTTAGCTATAGGCTTTTTCTGACATTTTCTTAGTTCATCTTACCTAAAAAGCATCTAAAGCACCAGAGGGATCTCATTGTTAAAAGGGTATAAGTCGGGACTAGGGTACTAAAGAATTTCAAATGGATTTGGTATACCATAATGAAGCCCATGTACAGTGGTAACTTCAAAAACAATGAAAATCAAACAACAGTCAGTAAATAAAGTCAGTGACCTTATTTGAAATGTTGTTTTTCACATCAGAATTTATCAGAATAAATGATATTGTCACTAGTACTAGTCATCTTATACATTCAAAGTAAAATTAATATAATTCAGACCATTGATTGATTTGGTACATTTTAATTTTTTTTTTTTTTTTTTTTGACTAGTTGCAAGCATTAAAGAAGATCTGGCAATCTCAAAACTTGCAGAGCTTATATTTGAAATTGGAAGTCATTTGGACAAAATAGAAAAAAAGGGTCCATTTTTACCAGGTAAGGTTATTTACTGTTACTTTAAGAAATTACTGCTGCATTATATGTATAAAATATGCTAAGTTATTAGACATTTATTAATATAAAACTCACCATATGTAAGTAATGATGAGAGTTTTTCACAGCATTCATTTTAGGTATACCCTATTGTGGGGTTCATTTTCAGGATGTTTTATTTACAATTTTCCATATTACACTGATAAACTACATTGCTCATGATCACTGTGTGGTTTTGTGAATCAATACCCAGATATTGTTCAAATGCTGCACTTAACAGGACTAGTTCTCCCAAAAATGAAAATCATTTACTCATGGTTGGATTATCTGAATTGAGTATTATAAATATCTTTATCCTGTTGATAACAAAATAAAAGAAATTATGAGGAATGTTGAAACCCAGCATTGTATGAACAAAAAACTACCATGAAAGTCAAAGACTACTGTTTTGTTTTCATCAGAAAAAAAAGAAACTCAAACAGGTTTGGAAACAATTGAGGATGAGGAAATCTTACCTTTAAATTCTGGAGGGAAAAAGACTGTTACACCACTTCAAATAATTGTGCTTAATCATTTACAACTTGCCACGAGACAAGAAATTCTACTAGAGTTTGAGTACATTATAGTTTGAGCATTCGAAATTCTGTCGTACGGCACTGCGAAAAGGGGTGGGATAAAACAATATGATTGATAGGCATTGATGAAGCGAGTGATTGCTCCATATTTAAACTGTATAAAGTACATACATTTTTGTACAGCGAGGTTATGTTTTGATCTTCTGTTGGTCTTAAACAATTATGTGATGCAATTTAGCTGGTCAGAGTTCACCAAGCTTAAACTTTTGAATGCAGCGACATGCTAATCATGTTGCACTAGCTTGCGTTTCCAGTCTGTCACATTCACATGCGTATGAATGGAAGTCCATGGGGCGAAAAGTGCAATGTGACAAAATTCAGAAAATCAAGAGTACAGGCATGGATGAAGACATCTGGAGAGCTGACAGAGCTAAGCTTTTATCAGGAAACTTGCATTGGTCTCTTTGGCAAAGCTTATAACAGTCAGTACAGGGCTGGAAAAGCATTTCTTATTGTACTTGGTGATGGGTTGTTCCTGAACGATTCATTCATTTTGAATGAATCTTTTATATGACTCAAGAACGACGAGTCTTCTCAGAGTGATTTGTTCATTCTCACATTTGTGCTGGTGGAGTAGATGATAAATTCCCTTTTATCGGGTTTGACTCACATGAAATACAAGCAAATCAAATGCAATCAGAGCCCGGCAGTTGCAGACTGGGACTAAAAAAAAAAAAGCCTTGGCACTGTAGCCACATCAGTCCACATTATCACACCGACACAGCCCCACCCTCGGACACGCACATTCACTACTTTTATTAATGTACAGATGGTAAAATAATATAAGCAATACCATATGTAATAGATATTTAATAGATATTTATTTTGTGTTTGGACTTGTGAGGGAAACCGGAAGGAAATCCACACGAACATGCAAACTCCACACAGAAACACCAAATGACCCAGCCGAGGCTCGAACCATTGACCTTTTTGCTGTGAGGCGGCAGCGCTACCCATTGTGCTGCCCTTTTTGAGACTATTTCAGTTAATTTAATGCATTTGGCAGCGTCTGATTTTAGAGCAATTTTTAAGTTTCTCTGAGATTTTTGGCACAGCCTTTTCTTTTTTTACGGTCCATCTCTGACAATTAGCTTGTGTTACACCTTATATTTGTTTGACATTCTTGCCAGATTTTGATTATAGCCATTGCCGATTAGGCCAATGCTTAACATTTATTATTATCACTATTATCATCATCATCATCTTCATCATAATATTCACATCTTGCAAGTAGCAAAAACTGCCTGTATGTAAAAGCAATACTTATACATTTTTTTTAAATAAAAAATAGCATGCCGGCATACATTTAAAAAAAGGTCCAGCCCTTCTGGCATTTGCCAGAATTGCCAGATGGCCAGTTCGCCCCTGGAGCCTGGAAACTTATTTGATACGTTCATCTCTCAAGTCCTTGGTTCGAGTCGTTTGTTGTTCATCACCTGAAAGACAGAAGCCAAACATATGCATTTAGAACCTGAAAATATTTAATCCGTTCATCTTTTGTGTCCTCTGGTTTGAGTCATTTGTCCGTTTATATGCTTTTACATGATGAAAAAACGATTCACAAACCAAAAGACTCAACAGGTGAACTAATCATGGGTCTTTTTGGCTCAGACTGTGTGCATTGGTTAAGCTTAAATGGGACTGTCTGTGTCATGTGAAGGAACGAATCAAATTTGAAGACCTGTCATAAGAGGTAGAGAGCTAATCAGAAAAAAGACCCGGGTAAACAATGAATGCCTGTTTTCTCTTTCTTATAGCATTCTACCTATGACTTGTTTGTAGTGTGATCAATGTTTGGGCTAGTTGTAGATGTGTTTGAAAGCAACTCGTAATATTTTATTAATATTTTGGCAAATTGAACGAAATGAACTAGTCTCAGAAAAAAAGATTCAATGAACGAGACTTAAAGATCCGAGCCAGTAAAATGATCTGAACTTTGTACACAGGTGGTAACGTAAGTATTTGTATTGAACATATTGGCTAAGTATTGGAGTTGACAAAAGTACTGACTTCACTACCGGTCGTTATTGAAATGTAAAAGTTGTGATAATAGCAGCATGTCCTGCATGCAGAGATTTGACTGTGATTGGCTCCAGTGATAATCACTTCACGCTCTTCACTACATGCTTGCACAGACAAGAGAGCATTCGAAAGCCTATCACCTGGGCCCGGATTTTCAAAAAGTTTAACAATCGTAGTAATCTTTTTCCAGCACTGGCATGACACACTGTTCGTTCTGCAGAATAGAGCTCCCTTGAAAGGGAATTGCTAGTTTATATTTCCTATATTTATATTTCCTATGCACCTCACAGTAATTCTAATTGTTAGCTATATGCATTTTTCCTCATATGTTCAATTCTAAAAAGACTTGAGACTATAGCCCCTTTCACACATACAGACCTTTCCGGAAAATTGCTGGCAATTGTATGTGGTTGTATGTGTGAACAGGTCCTTTTTGAAAATACCGGTAAATTCGTTCTGGCTATTTTCCGGAAAGAGAAGTTGTAACATTACCGGCAATTTTCCGGAATGCTGCGCTGTGTGAATGCAGAAGGAAGATTACCGTAATAAGCGCGTGCACGTCTAGAACGTGCTGACGTGAGACGTCTGCTTTAGCCAATCACAAAAGTCAGGCGCATTTACGTCCGCGCGGTTTATGAGAATAAAAGCCTTTGAATATTTTTCCAGACACATTTAGCTGCTAGAAGTTAGTCAGATCACGTTTAAATGTTCTTCTTAATGCCAACTGTGTAAATAATCATCGATGAGATGCTTATGATAAGCCGTTGTTTGTTTACCTTCAAGCTTTGCGTGTGCCTGTGAAACAGCCTGTGAGCGCCTGCACACGGACATATTATGAACATCTCGACATGCGAAAGTGATCCTGCGAAACTTGTTCACAATATTGATTATCCACAGAGTTTGTAATTTAGTCAAATCTTTACAAATACAAGTGCAGCCGTTTAAAGCTCATTTGTGGTGAATGATGTCAGAATTTACCGGTATTTTGGAATGGATGTGTGAATGCTCTTTTCCGGAAAATTTCCGTAACGTCCTCGCCTGTGTGAACAGCGCTTTTTTGAAAATACCGGTAAAGTCCTTCCGGAAATTTTCCAGATACTTACCGGTATCACTGTGTGAAAGGGGCTTTAGTGTCTCTGTCATGTTAATGTATGAAAAAGATCTGTTACACACGTTGTTTGCTATATAGAATGCAAAAACTTTGAAGCTCAATATCTCAAAATCATTCAGAATGCAGATAGAACTTTATAATTCTAAGGTGACGAATACTCAGGTAGGCTGTGGCATTAGCCCCTTTCACACATACAGACCTTTCCGGAAAATTGCCGGCAATTTTCGGGAAAGGTTGTATGTGTGAACAGGTCCTTTTTGAAAATACCGGTAAATTCGTTCTGGCTATTTTCCGGAAAGAGAAGTTGTAACATTACCGGCAATTTGCCGGAATGCTGCGCTGTGTGAATGCAGAAGGAAGATTGCCGTAATAAGCGCGTGCACGTCTAGAACGTGCTGACGTGAGACGTCTGCTTTAGCCAATCACAACAGTCAGACGAGTTTACGTCCGCGCGGTTTGTGAGGATAAAAGCCTTTGAATATTTTTCCAGACACATTTAGCTGCTAGAAGTTAGTCAGATCACGTTTATATGTTCTTCTTAATGCCAACTGTGTAAATAATCATCGATGAGATGCTTATGATAAGCCGTTGTTTGTTTACCTTCAAGCTTTGCGTGTGCCTGTGAAACAGCCTGTGAGCGCCTGCACACGGACATATTATGAACATCTCGACATGTGAAAGTGATCCTGCGAAAGTTGTTCACAATATTGATCATCCACAGAGTTTGTAATTTAGTCAAATGTTTGCAAATACAAGCGCAGCCGTTTAAAGCTCATTTGTGGTGAATGATGTCAGAATTTACCGGTATTTTGGAATGAATGTGTGAATGCTCTTTTCCGGAAAATTTCCGTAACGTCCTCGCCTGTGTGAACAGCGCTTTTTTCAATATACAGGTAAAGTCATTCCGGAAATTTTCCAGAAATTTACCGGTATCACTGTGTGAAAGGGGCTTATGTATTCATTGAAATAGCTTGGTGTGAACCAACCCTGACAGTTAATGATAATATTTTTTAATAATTAAAGGGCCATGAAACCCCCTTGTTTCAGCAGGGTGTTTTCACACCTCTACTCTGGAAAAAGTCAGAAAAGTGGGCGTGTCCAGCTCTGTTTATGCGGGAGTGTTGGAGGAACTAAAGTTGGATGGTGTGGGAGTGTCTATTTGGGCACGCGCGAGTTTCAGAGTCAAAATACACACCCACACAGACAGGAGAAAGTGATGGTGTTTAACCTACAGGGACATCTGTAGTCGAATTATTTGCCAAATTATTAAATGTTGGACTTTAACTGCAGTTTGGCTCTTTCATTCAGGGAATTCATTCATGCCTCTCGCGACAAACGAGATATTTGATTTGAGGAACTGCTGCAAGCGTGTATTTTTCATGCAATGTTTGATACCGCACGGCGAATGAGAGAAAAAAAACTCTGCATTTCCCGGAAACTTAGATGCACACGACAGGTAGCGTCAGAAAGCCGCGTGTGTTATTCCGGTCACTAAATGCGGTGCTAACATTTCTGCACTCAGTGCAATAGTTAACTTAATTCGATACGAACAAACTGAATAAACAAAGAGCACTGGTCGCTCGCTTACCAAATCTGTAGAGACAGGACAATCACCAGCAACCAGAGCCGCGTCTTTATGGAGAGAATACTACAAGCGAATCCAGATTTCAGCGTTTGCAGATGAGAACAGCTCTCAGGTAAACAATAATCCTCCTTAGACACGTAAGTTATTGTTGTCGAGCGTCGCGTATACTGTTAATCCACACGTGATCCAGATAAGCTCTCACAGAGAGAAAATGAAAACGAAACTTAACGGCAGCAAACTATAAAAGCAACACTTCACGCTTGTTTTGCCAACACAACGTGGCGTCTTTGTGGTGTAAACACGGTGACACTAATGAATATTAATGAAGTTGCACAATAGAGCGCGCTGATTGGTTTGAACCAAGCCTTACTCATGCATTAATGTATCACACTGTAAGACGTAATAAGACTCACTCAGGCACAGACGCCCAGTCTGCACGCTGGAATACACGCTATTATGTCATGACCGTGACGCAGCTTCAAAAATTTGTTTCAAACAGGAAGTACAAATTTGCTTGAAATAACGCAAAAACAACCAATTTACACTTTTTAGTGAAATATAGGTGTCCTAATAGTGTTTTTAGCAGTGTGGGACACATATACGACTGTCAACAGCTCAAAAAATGTGTTTTGGTGTTTCGTGACCCTTTAATAAGTTTTTTTTTGTTTCTTTTAGAGAATGTAGAAAGGTTTTCATTGGATTCTTTTATTACCTCTGAAAGTGTTAAACTTTCATCTGAAGCAGTGGAGCTGGCACCTTGTTATACTGAACCAGTGATCATTCAGAGGAGCAAAGAGCAGACTGAGAAATACTGTCAAGAATATGTGAGGTCTCCACACACATCATCTCATCTGTTATCAAATGATAAGACTCAGAGCATCAGAATCGGCCAGCTCTTCAGTCCTGACAGTGATGGAAACACACCGAAAACTGTGATTCTCTGTGGAGATTCTGGAAGAGGAAAATCCTTCGTATTAGAGAAGATCATCTTGGACTGGGTTCATTTAGAACATCATTTTGAAAACTTTGATGCTGTTTTTTTTCTGAAATATGAAGAGCTGAAGTGTCTTTCTGAGGAGATGAGCCTGACTGAGCTCTTGAGCAGGAGCTGCAGTTTAACCTCAGATCAGATCTCACAGATATTACAATTAACCCCAGAGAAAGTTCTGTTCCTCATTGATGGAATTGATGATTTTTCATTTAATGCACACATTCAAATCTCATCACCTACTGATCCATCCCAGAAAGCCCCAGTTATAAGCATTATTCACTGCCTGATGAGGGATCTCCTGCTAGTTGAGTCTTCTGTGATCGTCACCACTAGATATACCGCTGCTGCTGAATTAAGCAGTCTATGTAAAAGACCTCAGCGTTTCACAGAGATTGAGGGTTTCTCTGAGAGAAGGGTGCAGGAGTATTTCCAGAAGTTTTTTCAGGATGAGCAACTCTTCAAGAAAGCATTTGAGAGCATGAAGACCAATGAAACCCTCCTGACCTTCTGTTCTGTGCCTTTGCTGTGCTGGATGGTCTGTTTTTGCCTGAAGAAAGATGCTGATCAGGTGATGACAGAACTAAAGACCACCACATCCATATATGTGCACTTTGTGTCGACTCTGCTGGAGGATCATCACCAGAGTCAGTCTTTCCTCAGGAGTCTTGGTCAGCTGGCAGAGGAAGGGATGAAGAACCGACAAAACCTGTTTGATGAAAAGAGTGTAACCAGGACTGGCTTAGATCCTGCTACTAGAGTGTTCATGAATAAAATTTATCTTAAGCGAAAGAAAAAACATGAACTACTTTTCAAGTTTAAGCATTTGAGCTTTCAGGAGTTCTTCGCTGCTCTTTATTATATCATGCTGGATGAAGAAGAGTCTTGGTGCAAAGTCAGTGAGCTGTTTAACATGATGGAATCAGAGGCTTTAATCCACAGGTCACCTCCCATCTTTAGAGGCAGATTATCAAATCCCATCCCTTCTGTCATGATGTTTCTCTGTGGCCTCTTTAATAAGAAGGTGAGCAGCTCACTTTTTGAAAAGATGAAGTCTACTTTTTCTCACAACTTAAAGCTGAAGAAAAAAGAACTGAAGAAAAAGCTGATGAAAATGATCCCTGCAATGATACGTCAGTATGGGTTTGAATTGTTTGCTCTTCACTGTCTGTATGAGCTCCAGGATGAGAGATTTGTCACGAAAGTTCTGGAAACACACAAGTTTATGGATCTGTCTAATGTTTCTCTGAGGAGCACAGACTGTTTGGTGCTGTGCTACTGTCTTCGGTTGTGTCCAAACATCAGAGAGCTGAACTTCATGAACTGTGATTTAACAGCTGCTAAACTCAAGATTCTTCAGCCGGCTCTTGGTCTGTGTGAGACTCTGAGGTCAGTGGGTTTGATTGGACAAATGGTATTTTCTACACTTGCTGTTATTTTTAATATTGTTTGAAATCTTTTTGTTGCATACATTGGTTGTTTCTGGATCTGTTAATGTTTCTTTATATTGGTCAAATGTAGTGGCGCCGTGGGCCATTATTGGCGTTAACGTGCTGCGTTAACGCGAGACTTTTATCGGGCGATTAAAAAAAATTTGCCGTTAATTTATTCTCAAAGTTGGGTTGGGGACTGGGTCTATTCTACGCAAGCTATGATGACTTTCACCTTGATATTTTAGCGCGGATGTATACCTGACCGGTGAGCCGTCTGACAAAAAAAGACACTACTGACTACCTACGCTTACATGGGCATCTGTAATCTAGTTATTTACCTTTATAGACAATGATATAATTAAGGTGTTTACATTAAGTGCTTTTATGTAATATATTACTGTAATTTTGGGTGACTTTAACTGCAGTTCGCCAGTTCCACTTTCACTCGTGAACATTTCATTCATTTTTGTTTTTGAAGGTTTTCAGTGGAGCATCTGTCAGAGATCGGGGATTTGATCCAGATTCTTAGTGAATCAAAAATCTTGAGAGAGCTCAAGTAATTGAATTTTGTTACAACCTTATAAAACCAGCCATTGCTCTTTTAAATGTAAAATTGGTCTAGTTGTTTAAATAAGTGTTCTGCTCTTCTGATTGGTAGAGTTCGAGAGGATGAATATGGTGTTGAGAGCCCTAGATGGTCATTTAACCTTTCAGTCACTCGTGGAGATGTCTTGTAAGAAACCCCTGCACACCAAACTTATTCTGATCAAATCTTTCTTTTCTTGTTTCTTATTAAACAAACAACCCAAACTCAGAAAAAGTGGAGCCAGTATGGAAAATGCAAATAAAAACAGAGAGTAGTGATTTCCAGATTTACTTTGACTGGTATTTTATTGCAGACAATATTTCACTCGTGGTCACTCGTGGAGATGCTTTTTATTTAATATTTTGTCTGGGAAAAATGGGACAGGAGCAATTTAGGGCTAGTAATCAGGTAAATTGGCTAAATTGTGTGATTTGAAACAGGTGATTTCAACAGGTGATTGTAATTATGATTTGGTACAAAAGCAGCATCCAAGAAAGGTCTAGTCCTTTAGGAGCAAAGATGGGCTGAGGATCGACAATTTGCCAACAAATACATGATAAAATTATTGAAATGTTTAAAAACAATGTTCCTCAAAGAAAGATAGCAAGACATTTGGATATTTCACATTAAACAGTGCATAACATCATTAAAAGATTCAAGGAATCTGGAGGAATTTTAGTGCATAAAGGACGAGGGCGCAAGCCTAAACTGAACTACTTTGATCTCCAATCCCTTGGGTGGCACTCCATCAAGAATCACCGTTTATTTATAAGCGATATCACCATATGGACTCAGAAGTACTTTGGCTAACCTTTGTTAAGTACCACAATACAAAGTTACATCCACAAATGCCAGTTAATACTGTACTTTGCCAAAAGGAAGCCCTATGTTAACAATGTCCAGAAGCACTGACGAGTTCTCTGGACTCGAAAGAATCTGGAATGAACCAAACACAAAGTGGAAAAGTGAACTGTGATCAGATGAATCAATATTTCAGCTATTTTTGGGAGTAATGGACGCTGTGTGCTCTGGCCCAAAGAAGAAAAGGATCATCCATAGTATTATCAGCAACCAGTCCAAAAGCCAGGATCTGTCATGGTTAAGTGTCCTTGGCAAAGGTAACTTACACTTATGTGTGGCACCATTAATGCTGAAAAGTACATAGATTTTGAAGCACAATATGTTGCTGCCTCATGCATATTTCAACAAGACAATGCAAAACCACATTCTGCACACATCACAAAGTCCTGGCTGCCGAGGAAGAGGATACTAATACTTGACTGGCCTGTCTGCAGTCCCGACCTGTCTCCAATAGAGAATGTGTGGTGCATTTCAAACCGCACAATGTAACAAGGAAGACCCCATACTGTTGCCCACCTTAAGACTTGTTTGCAGGAAGAATGGGACAAAATTACACCTGAAACACTTCATTACTTGGTTTCAACCAATCACTTGGTCACTTGGTGTCAACCAACCTAACAAAAAAAAAGAAAAATACGAGACAAAGTAAATACGAGTCAAAGAAAAATACGAGTCAAAGTAAATTTAGAAATCACGTCATCACTTGGTGTCAACCAACCAAACAAACAAAAAAAAAAAAAAGAAAGAAAAATACGAGTCAAAGTAAATTTAGAAATCACTACTTTCTTTTTTAATTTCCATACTGTCTCAACCTTTTCTGATTAGAGGTTGTACGTTATAGTGAGAGTACAGTGCTGATGTTAGATATTCCTCTTTGCCTCTGTTTCAGGTTGACTTTGAGCTCATCTGGGAAAAATCCATCATTTTCATCAGTCTTAAACATCAGACTTACATGTGCACAATCACAGATATCCAGAACTGACTGGACACTCTTTCTTCAGAGACTCCGTAAGACAGGAACATTAACTGAAGAGTAAGAAAAATATTAATCTTGGTTTTACTCTATCAGATAATAGATTTGCTGTTATTCTAACAGTTTTGTGCTTCAGCTCTTCAGCTGATGATGATCATGTCAGTTTGCAGCTGTCTTCACTTCACTCTGTGGGATTGAAGTCGTTGGATCTGACGTTGGTCAGTCTGAATGAGAGCTGGGCTTCTGGGATCATTTCCCTCATCCAGAACTGCACCAGTTTACAGCAGCTCAAGTAAGCGTATTAGATCTCAGATTATTTACATGAGTAAATGATGACTGACAAAACATATTGTTAATTATTTAAAAAGAATTCAGTAATTTGCTCTAATAAGTATTGTCCTTGTATAAAACACAATTGATATATATAACACACTATATATTTGCATATATACGTAGTGTATATCACTGTTGGCATAACCTGATTGTTGTAGAGTCAGTGTCACTGGTTTGCTGTTGGAGGAGGGACTGAAGTTACTGAAGAAATCACTGACAGATCCACACTGCACCGTGATCATTGAAGGGTATGTGTGCTCAGTATATTTGATATATTTATAGTCAATGATAAATACCACTGTTGATTTAATTTAATTCTATTTTATCCATGTATAGCATAAAATCCAGTTAACGTTCATAAATGGAGTGAATTGGATTGAACTGTTTCCCCTGATTATTCTTGAGATGTTTCAGCAGCTTAATTGGAGTTCACCTGTGGTAAATTCAGTTGATTGGACATGATTTGAAAAGGTATACACCAGTCTATATAAGGTGCCAGGGTTGTCAAAGCACAAAGGCTGAGGAAGGTTACAGAAACATTTCTGCTGCTCTGAAAGTTCCAATGAGCACAGTGGCCACCATCAGCCGTAAGTGGAAGAGGTTTGGAACCAACAGGACTCTTCCTAGAGCTGACTGGCCATCTATGCTGAGTGATCGGGGGAGAAGGGTCTTAGTCAGGGACGTGATCAATAACCCAATGGTCACTCTGTATGAGCTCCAGCGTTCTTCTGTGGAGAGAGTATAAACTTACAGAAGGACAACCATCTGTGCAGCTCCCCACCTGGAATTTGCCAAAAGGCATCTGAAGGACTCTCAGAACATAAGAAACAAAATTCTCTGATCTGATGAGACTAAAATTCAACTCTTTGGAGTGAATGCCAGGCATTACATTTGGAGAAAACCAGGCACCATTAATCACCAAGCTAATACCATCCCTACAGTGAAGCATGGTGGTGGCAGCATCATGCTGTGGGGATGTTTTTCAGCAGCAGGAACTGGAAGACTAGTCAGGATAGAGGGAAAGATGAATGCAGCAATGTACAGAGACATCCTGAATGAAAACCTGCTTCTGAGTGCTCTTGACCTCGTTCTGGGAGACGGTTCATCTTCCAGCAGGACAATGACCCAAAGCACACCGCCAAAATATCAATAGAGTGGCTTCACAACAACTCTGTGAATGTCATTGAGTGGCCCAGCCACAGCCCAGACCTAAATCCTATTAAACATCTCTGGAGAGATCTGAAAATGGCTGTACACCGTCGTTTCCCATCCAGCCTGATAGAGCTTGAGAGGTACTGCCAAGAGGAATGGGAAAAAATTCCCAAAGACAGCTGTGCCAAGCTTGTGGCATCATATTCAAAAAGACTTGAGGCTGTAATTGCTACCTAAAGTATTGAGCAAAGGCTGTGAAAACTGATGTACATGTGATTTTTCAGGGTTTTTTTTTCATAAATTTGCAACAATTTAAAAAAACCTTTGTTTACATTGTCATTATGGGGTATTGTGTGTAGAATGTTGAGGAAATAAATTTATTTAATCTATTTTGGAATAAGGCTGTAACAAAAAAAATGTGGAAAAATGAACAAATACTTTCTAAATGCACTGTACGCTCTTAACATAACTGTAAATAAAGACCTAATGATTTCCTTGTTTCCTATACAAGTTTGAAAAGCATAATGCTAGTTCATTTTAGATTTTATTTTTAATTCACTGTTGTTTATAGGAGGAGGAATTGCAGTGAACCCTCAGAAGAGCACTTGAGGCAAAGTTATGAGAAAGTGGAGATTCACTTCAAACCAAAGCTTCTGGAGGAGCTGGCAGAGTGAGATTTTGTTCAAATTTTAAAAACTTTTTATATGTTTATCTTACAAATGAGTGAATCGTTCATCCTTAATGTGTTTCGCAGGCTGAGCATCTGTAACCCTGGATCTTCTGCACTCAATATTCATTGTCAGTCCTGTGTCGACGTTGCTGATTCAGATCAGTGGGTTCAGGTGGAGCCGTCAGTCTGTAGAGGTGAAGGAGGCACAGAGTTCAGGATCAGCACTCCGGCGGGTCGATTCCAGTGCAGCAGGACCAGAATGCGATGGGTTTGTGATGGAGATGTCACACTCCACTACCGGGCAGTGGATGGACATTTCCTCAACGCAGAGCTGGAGAGGCTTCAGTGTGAGCGAGTCGCTCCTGTGCTGGATGTGAATGTGATCTCAGGGAAACTGGAGGAGGCTCATCTGCCTCATTACATGTGTTTAGCAGAGTCAGACCCTGCACTCACCAACGCCGTCAAGCTCCTCAGTGTTGAAGATGAGGGAATATCCTTGGAGTCTGTGGAGTTGACTCGCTTTCATGCTAAAATCCTCCAACCAATGTTTTCTCCTAAGACAGTGCTTGTGAAACTAGGCATACCAGTGAAAGTGCACTGTGATCTACTTATCTTCATGACACATACTTGCCCCATCATTCTCAATGTGTATTTTTTCCCATCCGATTCACTTGTTAAAGAAAATATTAAAACAGAGGAAAAATCAAGTCACCAAATCAAGTGTTCAAAACCTGAAGCCCTACTGCAGATGAAGAAACAACACAGCCTTGAGGTTCCTGATGCTGTTGTTCAACCTAAGGCAATCAAATTAAGAGGTAACATGGAGCCAAACTTCTTTCAGGTCAAACAACCAGTGGTCAATGACATCACTATGATCCTCAGCCGAGTGGATGATCAGAAATCAGTATGGACAGGAACAATTTGGAAAGAACTGATCGATATAAAACTAAACAAAACAGAGTCGGACTTGTTTCAGTCTGGACAAAAACACAAGACATCACAGCCTGCTCGCAGCTTTGACAAAGCTCAGTTTTTTGATACACATTGGTGTAATCTTATTAAAAGTGTTAAAAATGTGAACGCCGTTGCAGACAAACTGCTTCAGGAACAAATCATTCATGATGAATTATATTCTGAAATCACACATCCCAATTCAATCAGTGAGGACAGCATGAGAAAGATCTGCGTCATAGTGAGGAAAGGTAGCGCCGCTGTCAAAGAGATCTTCATCTCTATTCTTCTGCAAGAAAATCCCAATCTTTTAAATCATCTGCCTTCATCTGACTCCTAATCTGTTTCTTGTGAGGATTCTATATGTAGTATTTTACACAAATGATGAAATGACAAGGAAACTACAAGTGATCAGATCTTACATCTTATGCTGCAGCTTTTGGAGAATACTATTTTCAGATTTCTCACTGTTAGCCTTTCAGTGACTAAAACGCTGAATTTCTATGACCTATATTGAATGGAAACACAAGGCGCTATTATGCCCTGCAGAATATATATTCGAATTTAAATTTAATAGCCCTAACAGATAATTTACCTTAGATTTATAAAACAAATGAATCAGAAACAAGAGTGTCTGACACTCAGGGCATACTCACACTAGGCACGATTGTTTTGAGGCCCATGATTTTATAGTTTACAAAGTTAAGATGCAAATAAATAAACAGCAAGTAATTTAATACCCTGCTATATTTGCTATTAGTAATATCATACACACATAACCACAATTTGTTATGTCATTAAAGATAACTGTGTTTATATAAAATCTATAAATGAGGAGGACTTTTCTCCTCCCTAGGTCTGACTGCAGACACAGTAGACAGCAGTGCAGCACGTCTCTTTCTCTATCTATTTCAATCATTAGCCCTGCCGGTAATCCGGAGGATTTTAAACCTGTGCGAACACCGCAGCACAGATATAGGCGATGTGTCTGAATGGTAGCGGAGTCAACTGATAAAAGACAAAGTCCGCCATTCTCCAGTTATCGTAAAGCTCTCCTGACAAAAATCGCTCGTTGCAAAACCAACAGCTTTGCTGTATCGGCTCCCGACAGCATCGTGCTGTGCACTCACAGTGTCTCACAGCTTGGCAGGTCTGTCTGGTCTTTGGAAAGTATGTGCAGGGTAGTGTCTGGATGGTTTGATGACATTAATTTTAAAAGAGACAAAAACTTACTTACATATTCGGATATTCCTATGCTTACAAAAACAGCTATTAGTAATGACAAGAAACCTAAAAGACAACAGAATCACCTTCGACAGAGTTCGAAGAGGACAAAAATGACCCACTGAAGTCGATCAATTTTCTGCTAACCATAAAGGAAGAAATGGCCCAGATGACACTTCTGACCAACTATTATGATCAGAAACAGAAAGAGGCCTGGGAGTGTTAGCTTCAGAAAAAGATATTCTTTGCCGACTAGGAGCTACACTGAAAAATGAGTTGCATGCAGAACTGTTGCAAACAATTTGTTTGTGTTGAATTTAAACAAACAAATTAAGTTTAGTAATGTTCAACTTAATTTGTGTGTTTAAATTCAGCCCAAATAAATTGTTTACCACCTCTTAACATAAAGAAATTGAGTAAATCCAAGGAATCATCTTTGAATAATTTTTTTCAGTGTATAACCTTGGAGGACAAGACTTTTGGTAGACTGCCTGAATGTTGATGTAATAGAAGAAATTATTTGCTATGTTTGTATTCAGATTAGGGTTGGGCCAATAGACGATGCCATCGTCCATCGCCGATGGCCAATAGACAACATAATGCTGAGCCGACATCGCAGATTCTCCGCCCTGCCCCCGTCGCAAACCCGCTCGCGAAAAATACACTCAGGCCCCTTTACACTAATACATCTTAGTGTTAAAATGGCATTTTAGAATGAACATGATCCACATCCACACCGTTTCACCTAGCATTTCTGAACAGCCCTCTATCCATTGAAAATGCACATCACATGACCACACACATACAGCCACACGCTGCCATGTGCTCCTCTGAGCTCCAGAGAGCAGTGCACATCGGACAGGTTATCAAGGATGTACCGCTGGATTGCATCTCACTACAGTTGTTAAACGTGATATTCAGACATCCCATCGGGACTCATAATGGCTGCAAACGAGTGATATTCTCCTGGAAATCGTGTGTCTCTCTCCTGGTCCTCAAATAAGTCGCGCACCCTTCTGCTTAAACTGACTTCTGTATACTCAATGACTTAGGCTCTTTATCCTCAACGGAGGATCAAGTAAAGGATTTTGTTTTGTTATTGTAAATGTTTTTTTTTCTTTTTCACTGGATTTATTTTACTAGTAAAAGTATATTTTATGATTTTTTTCCACTGGAGTGGACATTGGCTTTTTTTGCAGAACCCATCAAGATACCTTGTGTGGTAAGGTATGAATCTGATTTATTCCTTAAACAACATTACAATATAAGGTCCTAAACAAAACTCTAGCTAAGAAATATAGCCAAGAGAGGATCAATTAAGGTATTAAAAAGGCATCCAGTACAGCAGCCATGGTTAATAAAGAAGCAGGGTTTTCTCATAGGATAAGAAAACTCAGCTATAAATAATGAGAAACCAACACGTCATCTCTGTACAGGCAGATCAACGATGCCGATTTTGAAGCCACCCAAAAGATTATTTTAAACCCGGAAGATGAACTTAGATGACAAAGCTCAAAATTATCCTGTTTTCCCCACATATAAAGCTGACAGGTGCTAATGTTATCTTAAATAATGCACAACACTCACAAATCTGTAAAAAAGAAAAAAGAAGAAAAAGTACAAGCGTTTTTGAACCTTTAATAAACTATGACAGTTCGAGTTAATTGAAAAGTAAGAATTATTAAATCCTTATAAAAAAATATTCCCTTAAAAGTGACATCTGGTCTTCAGTTTAGCGCTCAGGCACACTTTGTACTCACACTACACACATATCGTGCCAAAGCCCAACTCTGGCACACCTCTTCCAAATGGAACAGGGCCAGCCAACTGAACCTTGTCTGGGCCCAATTCAGAGCACTCAAACTTGTTAAACTAACTGGGAAATGAGGGTCAAACATGCCCCGGCACAGGTTAGATAGCCTAGTGTGAGTACACTCTCAGTCTTTAAAGTCATTTTGTAGACTAGGCTCGAATTTACATTTTTCTGGCATGTTATATTAGGAAGTACAGCTTATCAAACTTGGGGACTGCCACTAGCTTCGTTTCCAACCACCTATTTTTTTATGAGCATTTTGGATATGCGGATTAAAAATATTGGTACAAAGAAAACACGTTTACCGAACAAATTCCAGTATGCACATTAAAAAAGGTGATCATGTGATGATAAATATGAATGGACGAACCAGTAGGCTAAGCACACTGTAAAACATCTGAAATGTTGTTTCAGTCATTCTAAAAAGCCTTAACCGTTTCAGTATTAGTGTTATTATATCATTAATTATCTCCAGAGTTGTCAAGAGCATCTGTGCTTTGCGTCTCACGCCTTTAAACATCACCACTCGTTCATTATGTGTCGACATTGTCTTCTGAGGCGCAAGTCATTTATTAAATAAGGAAAAGATTCACGCAGCTTCTCTTATTGCAGCACATCCTGTTTTTACTGTTGATATTTGGCACCAGTTAATCAGGAAGTGACGATTTTGTTCTTTTTGACTCGTTGGATGGAAACGCTGCTTTATTCACACATCTGTTATGTGAAATTCCAGTTTTGTGCATAAAGTTAATTAAAACAGTCTCTGACATCCCATGAATAGGACAAAAAACAAAAACACAAGTCCTTGACCTTTAGTGTCTGGAATGGACATTTTAATATCCCATGATATTTCATGACTAATTTTTGAAAATAAGGAACATTTAAATGATCTGCCTGCCTGTGAAAAACATTCTGTTTACTGTGCTTACATCTTGTCTAATAAAGCATTTGAAAAACTAAATGTGAAATGTTTGTGTACAGGTTTTATTGCTATACAGCTGTAGTGAATCTTCCAATTGGACACTAAGTTTAACCACTTCTTTTATAAACTAAACGTGATAATACAAAAAAGACAAAGTTATTTGTCACAAATACAAATCTAATATTAAGTATAAGGCAACTACCAACAATAAAAATGTTAAATAAATACAATCAAACCTGCAGTTTTGCATCAAAAGATACATTTGTATGAATTACTGTAGTGATCATAACCAAAGCAATTCATGCCGAGCTAAAACATCCTTTAAAACCATTATAAATGCAAAATGTACAAAGAGCGTCAATCCAAATCAAAATTAAAAGTGTTATTTACATAAAAACCTCTCCCCCCTCCCAGAGTTGATTAGTAAAAGTGTAAATAATACGCCCTTCATAGTCATGTAGCAGACAGGACAGTTCAGACTGAGGGCATGTTACGTGATCTTCACTGTTTTACTAGAGTGAGGTCTGTAATGTGCATCAAAGAGAGCTCATTTCTTGATACGGAGCTCAGAAGAATAAGTGCATGCTTGATCAGCGGCAGGAGGGAAGCGTGACTCTCTGCTCATCCATCCTCTTGGCCTGTGAGCGCATGATGAGGCTGAAGAAGTCTTCATCTGGGACGGTGGGGCCACGAGTGGAGGGCGGAGGAGGGGCACACCTCTGATCTTCAAGGCGGGACCCCTGAGAGAGACCAGAAAAAAATAGATAATGAGATAAATGGTGTAAAAGAACAAAATGACTTCTGACGGATAGTGATTGAAAAATTGAGCCTTTTGAACTTTGAAACACCAAGAGTGCTTTAACACTAGCACTTTTGGTCCGCACTGAGGTTGGATTGATACTAGCGTACGGTGCGTTTAGCTAGTGTGAAGTTATAGTTTCGGGTGAACTAAGCTTTAATCAGTGACTGTTTGTCTACACTTATTTTTTCTCATTTTGTGTTTGGTTCTACGTGTTTATTCACATCATACCTGACACTTGACGAGCATGTCAAAGAACTGGTCGTCGGGTTCGGTGGCGTCTGTGCTGGCCATGACCTGGCTGAGGATCATCTGTCTGTTGTTGGTGCTGCTGTGTTCATTCAGGGTGCGTAGGCCAGGCAAACTGTTCCCCGTTCCTGCCCTCTGCTCATCCAGCCTCCTGCCCTGAGCATTCGCCAGCAATCTGAGAAACGGCTCCTGACCTGGACTTGCAGCTGACTCTGAGAATGCTAGGTAGACAACAAAACATCAGGCATGTAGGTTGATTTAAAAAGCCACTTGATTGTTGAATTAAGGAAAACACTGTGAAAGAAGAGAAACTAACATTTCCTGATGGTTCTGGGTGGGGTGGTGGGTGGAGAAGCGATGGAGTTAACAGACAGATGGCTCTTGCTATCTTGTATGGCACAGCGCTGGTCATCCATCCGGTTGCTCTGAAATCGACTCAGCAAGTCAAAGAAGCCCTCGTCTCCTAACATGTCTGTACTTCCATGCTGAGGGTAAACAAAGTCAAAGGTTTAAGAAAAATGCTACATAATGAATACATTTATAGTGCATAATTCATACAAAAATATCACTGCTACACAAGATTATTCTACTGAAAATATAATGGTGTTTCTAAAACTAATTAGATTATAAAAAAGTAGGACTGGAGAATGAAGATTTTGAAGCTCAGAGTCATTTTTACATTTCTTTGGGGCTCTGTGCACAGTGAGCATGACTTTGTCAAAACATTTTTCACATGACAGAACAGAAATGTTATTTTTTGCTCCAGATAGCATCACCCCAATGATCAGGCAAGTTTTTGGAGGTTTGTCATCATCAAATTGCAGTGATATTAGATATCTTGGTTTCATTTTTGATTAAGCTCTGTGTTTTAATAGCCATGTTAAATCTGTTGTTCGAACATGTTTTTTTCCACCTGAGGAACATCGCAAAAACATAATGCTAGATCTGTTTGAGATCAATTCAATTCAATAAATACAATACTTCCCTTTTAAGACAGAGATCATAATCATTACTGCATGGTTTTGTATTATTTTCCCTTTTTTTTTTTACACTAACGATGCATGACAATTTTTTAGAACAATAAACACGAAAAATAAAAATAAAAGATGTATACGAAATTTCAGACAGTGTAAAAAGACGGTCAATTTGCGAAGAGTGGTTTGGATATTAAATTAAGGTCATGCAGTCTGTGTTAATTTGTTTGGATTAATTTTAAATCAATTTGAACTTAAACTTGCTCTACAAGATTAGGCATTCCAACTAATGAAGTAAATACAGTATTTATTGACCAGGCTTTCTTTGTTCTTTATTATTATGTACTATCAATAAGTACTTTATCTTTGTACATTGCGTGTGGTTTTATTACTTTGCTTTGAGGAGTGTCCCGTGTGTTGCTGGTATCCTGCAGGATTTTACTGGAGCTGCTCTGCAGTTTGTGCTTCTTTCCTCGGAAACGATTTACAAAAGATAGCTTTGAAGATGACTTGGCTAGTGAGGATTTGGACTGCTTGAAGAGGATGTCACTTGTCCACTTCTGACCCTGCAGGATAGAAATGAAATTATGTTTTACAATTCTTCATACACTAAGCACATTAAATGTCTTTTTCCTCCCAGTCTTATAAAAATGACGAATATAAACACAGCTACTGATACATACAGTTAAACATATTACAGATTTAAGAGTAGGAGGCAGATTGGAGCTCAACGTTTAGCTAAACTCACATTGGCGTTGATCTTGTCAGGAGTGAGTTTCAGCAGCTCAAGGTTCTCCATACTGTGTCGTCGGCTCATCCTGGGTCTGGCTCCTGAAAAAAACAACAACAAACTGCTTTAAAACTGTTGAAGACAAGTGAGGTTTACCAAGGGAGATTAGCTGACTATTACATCATGCACCGCTGACAGAAAGATTTACTGTGTTCTTCACTATACAAATTTCGTAAGTGAATACATAAATGTTAGAAAGTAAGAAGTGATTGAGCCATTTGCACAAATATTTAAAATAAACTTTAACACCAGAGGGCATATACCACAAACAAATGGAGTGAAGCACTGTTGACTAAAATATTCAATTTGCAACAAAATTTGATGTTGGACAATAAATGTCATATACAGTCATACGCTGGACTTTTAGAATTTTACTCTGTAAACCTGATGCGATCTGGCGGCACTTTTTTTAGCCATTATGCTCCAAAAGTTTGGAACTGTCTCCCTCTTGTAGTGAAAGAATCCCCTAGTATTCATGTTTTTAAAAAGCGTGTTAAGACACATCTTTTTAAAATTGTATATGAATACACAAGCTTTTAAGTTGTATGCATTTTATCTATATTGTTGTAGGTTTATGTGTGTATGTATGGTGTGTGCTTGCATATATAAGGACTATTGTGTGCGTGATCATGTGGATATATGCTTATATTTTATGTACATGAATGCTTTAATCTGAGTATATGTGACAAGTTTATGTGGTCTATTTTAATGCTTTTTTGTTGTTGTTTGTGAGGCACTTTGAGTTGCATGTATGTTGGAAAAGTGCTATACAAATAAAATTTATTATTATTATTATTATTATTATTATTATATTAATTACTATATTATATATACATTTACATCTACAAGTAAATATTTGTACAATATAATATTTTATTCATATTCTTTTCGGCTTATTCCCTTTATTCATCAGGGGTCGTCACAACAGAATGAACCACCAACTTATCCAGCATATTTTATGTTTTACGCGGCAGATGCATGAAGAACATGCAAACTCCACACAGAAATGCCAACTGACCCAGCCGGGGCTCAAAGCAGCGACCTTCTTGCTGTGAGGCGATTGTGCTACCCACTACACCACAGTGACGCCTAATATTTATAATATTTTTAAAGTGAAAAAAAGAAAAAAACATTGTAGTCATCAAAATCGTTTAGTGAATTTAACTTCTGCTTTTAAAGGCATTACTTTTGTTTTAAGATTGTCTTATTAAAATGTTACAATGTCATAATGATTTTAAACCATTCTGCACATATCACATAGCATAGCCTGCAAGGATATGTTCTCATAGCTTTAAATATGAACATTGTCTCACTGGCAAGTGGACAGATAGAGATGCATAGAAAATAAAGATACTTACTTGAACAACAATTCAGCCAAAAAAAGCAAGATATATACATTTTGTATTGCCATATTTATAACTAAGAGAA